CTAATCTACAATTGTAAATTCCCCTACCTCAAAGGATTGCTAAATCCACAACTGTAAACTGCTGGGTATAAAGTTTTGTTATTTCCCTTGCTTGGGACTGCTCTCCTAGGATTGCATCCAGGGGACAGTCGCCGGCCGGCTCCAGTAAATGCTCTCTATTTTCTAATTTGGCGTGTGTCTGGTTACTCTCGGCCCGTCCATTTCATTTGGAGGTTCCACCGAGATCGCCCTCTGGGCACCAGACACGGGCATCTCTGGAAGGCCAGGCTTCTCACCGTCCAGGGGGTGGCCACCAGGAAGACGTTCCCTGGCCCCGAACGCTGAGATAGCCCGTGCGTACCAGGCTGCCCAGACCACAAATCCTCAATTGGGCATAGAGCAATCTGTAATCTGTCTGTTCTGGTGAGTACTCTTCTGAAGTAAGTGGCCAGGCTGGACGCAGCTGCAACGCCCTTACTGACCTCCAGGGACGCCGTGTGAGAGTCCTGCCTGTCTGATTGTGTCTGTCCGGCGCCGATGTCACTGTGTGTGTGTGTGTCCACTGTGCGCTCCGTGGCGGGGTGGGGGAGAAAGACTTCCTGCCTCATTCTCCAGGTTGTTCGGAACTGAGACGGGTTTGTTCTCCGCTACTGTGTCAGGAGCATCCAGGGTTTTGACTGTGTCTTTTTTTTCCGTTTTTGTGTCGACTGTGTGTGCGCGTCTATCTACTATTTGTTCCGTGAGGGGGGGTGTAAATTCCTGTCTCATTGTCTAGGTCGTTCGGAATTGAAGCAGTTTGATTCCCCTCTACCCTGTTTTGACTGTGTCTTCCCTGTGTCCGTGTTTGGTCCTTGCTTACGTGAGCACGTCTATTTGTTACTCTTTTCTTTCTCAGTCCTTAATCCACCATGGGACAAGGACCCTCGAGCCCTAAGCCAGGCTCCCCTCTCTTTATTGTCTTACGGGACTTCAAACAATATCGGCGTATAGCAGAAGGTTATGGGTTTCAGGTTACTAAAAAGAAATTAGCTCTCCTTTGCCAACAGGAATGGCCCACCTTCGAGGTAGGCTGGCCCCCGGGGGGTACGTTTGACGTCTCGGTGGCCGGCCGGGTCAGGGGAATTGTCTATGGTATACCTGGCCACCCCTATCAGGTCCCCTATATCACCGCCTGGATTGATTTCAAACCCCCTTCGGGACCACTACAGGTCCAGGCCCTTTCAAAACTAAGACCAGGAACGGAATCAAAGACGACCTTTAGCCGCAAGCCTCCCGAAAGTCCTAAGGTTGTCACGCAGCTTACTCCTGTCTTACCACCCCCTGATTCTGACCCCCTAGATCCAGCTGAGTACTCCCAGTCCCAGGTTTCAGATCCACCCCCGTACCCAACCTCAGGGTCTCTGAGCCCCTCAGCCCCTCCTCTGATAAGTCCACCCCATACTCGAGCAGGTGCTCCTTATGGCCCTTCTAATTCCAGTTTGACCCCAGATTCCACTGTGTCAGCGTTTCCCCTGCGGCAAGTTCCTTCCCCTCCCGGAGAATCAGGGAGACCGTTCATGGTATATGTTCCCTTCTCCACCAGTGATTTGTACAATTGGAAACAGCAAAACCCATCCTTCTCTGATAAGCCCCAGAGCCTAATCTCCCTCCTAGAGACTGTCTTTTATACTCATCAGCCCACCTGGGATGACTGCCAGCAGCTCCTCCGGGTTCTTTTCACAACCAAGGAGCATGACAGGATTCTTTTAGAAGCCAGGAAGGGAGTTCTGGACCCAGATGGACATCCCTCTACTGACCTGGGGCGCCGCAACCACATCTTCCCTGAGAACCGGCCCGACTGGGACCCCAACACTGATCGCGGTAGGGAAGCACTGGACAGGTATCGCCAGTTATTGCTGGGAGGGTTACGGGCAGCAGCACGGAAGCCAACTAATATGTCCAAAGTCAGTGAGGTTAAACAGGGCAAGGATGAGTCCCCAGCTGCATACTTAGAGCGCCTCTACGAGGCATATCGAACCTACACCCCTATCGACCCAGAGGATCCCAATAACCGGAGAGCCATCGTAATTGATTTCGTAGCCAATTCAGCTCCGGACATCCGTCGGAAGCTACAGAAACTTGAAGGTTTTGAGGGTAAAAATCTGACTGAACTCATGGAAGTGGCTAAGCGGGTGTTTGACTATCGTGAAGAGACTCAAGACAAGCAAACTCGCACGGTCGCAAGGGCGGTAGTGGCAGCTTTAGCACAGGTTCCAGGGGAGGCTCAGAAGCAAGGGTGGAAAGGAAGGCGGGAGGGGCCAAACGCTGGGCGCCCCTATAAGGGTAAAGGCTTGGGAAGGCCTCCTTTAGCTCGGGATCAGTGTGCTTACTGCAAAGCCATGGGTCATTGGAAATCTGAGTGCCCTAATCGCGGGCTGAAAGAGAAGGCAGAGCCGTTATTGACTTTGAATACAGACTAGGGGTGCCCCGGCTCAAAGTCCGTTGTGACTCTTGACCCCCTGGAGCCGAGGGTTACTCTCAGTGTTGGGGGTCAACCTGTCTCATTCCTAGTCGACTCTGGAGCTGCGGCATCGGTCCTGAAATCCCCACTGGGCTCCCTCTCATCGTCCACTGTGCAGGTCCAGGGAGCTACTGGACGAAAACAGTCTGTACCCCTCACCACTTCTCGGGAAGTCCGGTTAGGGAAGGGCCTAGTCTCCCATTCTTTTCTAGTAATGCCTGATTGCCCTTACCCCTTGCTTGGCCGAGATCTCCTACACAAGCTTCAGGCTATCATTTCCTTTAAGGGACCTAACCCCACTCTCGGGTTTAACCTGCCACAACTTGTTCTCACCTGCCCGTTGTCAGAGGAGTCTCGCCTCCTCCCCCTAACGTTTTCCCCAGACCGCCCCTCGACCACCTCCACCCCTACCTCCCTAACTCTGTTGAACCATTTCAAAGGCTTGGTTCCTGGAGTCTGGGCTGAGACCAACCCGTTTGGTCTATCAGGACACCAGCCCCCAGTGGTGGTCCAGCTCTCGTCCACAGCAACCCCTGTGCGTGTCCAACAATACCCGTTGACTCGAGCTGCCCTTTTTGGCATCAAGCCTCACATCGATCGACTCTTGGCGGCAGGCATTCTACGACCCTGCCAGAGCTCGTGGAACACCCCCCTACTTCCAGTTCGCAAGCCCGGGTCTGGAGACTTCCGTCCTGTCCAGGATCTACGAGAAGTCAACGCCCGGGTGGAAACTGTACATCCTACTGTGCCAAACCCATACACGTTGCTATCTTCCCTGGACCCTGCTCGGACTTGGTATACTGTTTTGGACCTGAAGGATGCTTTCTTTTCCATTCCCTTGGCACCAGTAAGCCAACCTATATTCGCTTTTACTTGGACAGATCCTAACACTGGGACATCCTCTCAGCTCACCTGGACCCGGCTTCCCCAAGGTTTTAAGAACTCCCCTACACTTTTTGGCTCAGCTCTGGCCTCCGACCTGGCCGCCTTCCGGGTCTCGTATCCGGAGGTCACTCTCCTCCAGTATGTTGATGACCTTTTGTTAGCTACTTCCTCTGAGGCAATATGCAAAGATGCAACTCTCCACCTTCTCCAGCTGCTTGAAGCTTCCGGCTATCGTATCTCTGGAAAGAAAGCACAACTGTGCTCTCAATCCGTTGTTTACTTGGGTTTCACCCTTCATTCTGGTCAAAGGTTACTGTCTCGGGGGCGTGTAGCTGCCATTTTGGGCATGCCCGCCCCGAGGGACCGCCGCGGGCTCCGGGAATTCCTGGGGATGGCTGGATACTGTCGCCTCTGGATCTTGGGGTTTGCCGAGGTTGCCAAACCCCTATATGAGGCCCTAACTGGTGAACCCACCCAATTTGTTTGGGGACCACGGCAGCAGGAAGCATTCGACAAGCTCCGAAAGGCGCTGTCCAGCACGCCTGCCCTCTCCCTGCCAGACCTGTCCAAGCCCTTCCGCCTCTATGTGTCTGAGTCTCGAGCTGTGGCCAAAGGGGTTCTGACCCAGCCCCTGGGGCCCTGGAATCGTCCTGTTGCCTATCTCTCCAAGCAGCTGGACCCTGTGGCTTCCGGGTGGCCCTCTTGCCTGCGAACTGTGGCGGCCGTTGCCGTCTTGGTTAGGGAAGCCGCAAAGCTCACTTTCGGGCAGCCTCTTGAGATTTCAGCATCACATCATCTGGAACAGCTTTTACATTCCCCGCCGACAAGATGGATCTCAAATTCACGCCTGACTCATTACCAATCCTTACTCCTAGATTCCGCGCGCATCTCTTTCGCTCCTCCGGTCACACTCAACCCGGCCACCCTGCTCCCTGACTCCCCTCCTTCCTCCCCTATACATGACTGCCTGGACACACTGGACTCCATCCACACGTCCCGCCCTGGACTTACTGATGTTCCTTTAACAAACCCCGACCTAGTGCTCTTCACAGACGGCAGCAGTTTTGTTCAGGAGGGGATCCGTAGGGCGGGTGCAGCCGTGGTCACTCCGGTTGAGACCCTCTGGGATACCGCTCTACCCCCTGGCACATCTGCTCAACGTGCTGAACTCATTGCCTTAACTCAAGCCCTTAGACTCTCTGCAGGGAGGCGAGTAAATATTTACACAGATAGCCGCTATGCCTTTGCCACTGTTCATATCCATGGATATGTATATCTCCAAAGGGGTCTGTTAACCTCGGCAGGAAGGGAGATTAGGAACAAGAGTCAGATCCAGGACCTGCTGGATGCTGTCTGGCTTCCCAAGGAGGTGGCGGTAATTCATGTTCCTGCTCACACCCGTGGAACTGACCCCCAGTCTCTAGGGAACGCAGCAGCGGATAAGGCTGCCCGAGCGGCTGCCTGCAAACCCTTGATACCCGCTATGGTCGTGGAACCTGAGGGGATGCTTCCTGTCCAACCATCTTATCAATCCAGTTATCCGGATGGCACCCCTGAAAAGGGGGGATGGAGAAGACACCCAAATGGCTTGCTAATTCTGCCCAAGGCACTGTTGCTACCCCTATTGATGACTCTTCATAGCCTTACCCACTTAGGCGGAACCCGGCTTTACGACCTGGTGAGCCGACACTTCTACAGCCCTGGGATGAAGCAGGCGGCCGAGGAAGCCGCAAGAAGGTGCCTTGCATGTGCCAAAGTCAACCCACGATCACAATCAAGGATACCAACTGATAGACCACGAGGAACATTTCCTGGCGACCATTGGGAAGTAGACTTTACTGACATGGGAACTGGGTTGGGAGGGTACCGTTTTCTCCTTGTATTCGTGGACACATTTTCTGGATGGCCAGAAGCATTTCCAGTCAAAACTGAAACTGCAACCGTAGTGGCCAAAAAGCTGTTCTTTGAACTTATTCCTAGATTTGGCCTGCCGGCCTCGATAGGCTCTGACAATGGCCCAGCATTTGTATCTGCAACAATTCGAAGCCTATCAAAGATGCTGGGATTGAAATGGAAATTGCACTGTGCATATAGGCCTCAAAGTTCAGGGCAGGTAGAAAGGATGAATAGAACTCTAAAGGAACACATTGCTAAACTTAAAATAGAAACTGGCGATAGCTGGGTCAGTCTCCTTCCCTTCGCCCTCCTCCGGGCCCGGTGTACTCCCAATTCCTCAACCCTCTCTTTATCTCCATACGAGATCCTCTATGGAGCCCCTCCTCCTATTATTCCAAGAGTATCTGCAGCTATTTCAGCCCCAGATTTTACTAATCCGACTCTTCTTAAGTCCTTCCAGGCTTTGCGTGAGGTCCAGAACGCTGTGCGCTCGGTCCTGAAAGCTGCGGGAAAAGAACCAGCCCCTGCAACCTCATCGGACGCCCTGTCACCAGGAGACTGGGTCCTCACTCGCAAGCTTCCAGCTGGACCAGCCCTGGAACCACGGTGGACGGGCCCGTATCAAATTATCCTCTGCAACCCCTCTGCCGTCAAGGTTGCCGGCCGCAAGGCATGGATACATCGGTCACACATCAAGAAGGCCCCAGAGCCCAACTCCACCGCCTGGACAGCAGAAGCAGTGTCCGACCTAAAGCTTCGACTCTCCAGAACTTGACTCTTCTTCTCTTTCTTTTTGCTTGTGAGGTGACTTTGGGTGACCCCTATAGCCCTACCCCATCCAGGTGGATTCTCTCCCGAACTAACGATGGGACCACCGTCCAAGCTCTCACCAGTTACGGAGCCCCCACTTTCAGGTTTGACCTCTGTGCCCTCTTGGGACCAGGATGGAATCAAAACCGGGCTATGCGGGACCCTATCGCTGGGGGATGGGGATACTGCCCCACTTTTCCCACCACTCCAACCATACCCGGGGTAGGGGAAGTGAGAATCAGAAGTATTGAATTCTATGTTTGTCCGGCCACGGGGAATCCTTCCTGTCAGGGTAGTAATCACTTTCACTGCGCAGAATGGGGTTGTGAGACTGTGGCCAGGTGGATTCCTAGAGGTGGCCGAGACCCCCTAATCACCCTGGAGAGACAAAGCCCCCTCCCCGCCTCCTGCTGGCCTGGGAAATGTAACCCTATGATTCTAACAGTCAAGCAGGACACTGATGACTCTTGGAATCTCGGACATTCTTGGGGTCTGAGGTTATACATGACTGGATGGGATAACGGGGTCCTTTTTACCATTCAGAAAATCGCAGTTTCCACCCATACACTCCCCATAGGACCGAATCCCATCCTTAACCCACAAACCATGTTGACTCTCACCCCACCATCTGTTAGGGACCTGGTACCAGAGGCTCCCGAAAATCCAGAGACCCTCACTAACCTAGGTTCCCCCATTTTTGATACACTCTCTGCTGTCCAATCATTCCTAAATTTGTCTGATCCAAACATAACCACCTCCTGTTGGCTGTGTCTGAATCCAGCTCCCCCCTATTTCGTAGGAATTGCTATCGAACTCAACATCACCTCTGTGGGAAAGTTGTCTTTAAGTAAGTCCAAACAATCCTCTGCCATACCTGCCCGCTGTAACCCAGACAAGCCTAGACTTACCCTAGACGATGTCCAGGGCAAAGGAATGTGTTTGCTCGGGCCTGACTACCCGCTGCGGTCCTCCCCATTCAATGCTACGTGCACTTCAGTCATTCTTATTTCCCCCACATCCAAAAGCTCTGACCTCCTGTTAACCGCCCCACCTGGAGTATGGTTCGCTTGTACCAGAGGACTCACCACCTGCATACAGGACATTCGTTTCCTCAACCCGACCGAGCTCTGTGTAGTGGTGCGTGTCTTTCCTCAGGTATATGTCTACTCAGAGGAAGGGGCAGCTGAGCATATTGGCTTAACTCGCTCCAGGAGGGCTGTACCCTTTTTGGTTCCCATACTGGTGGGACTCGGAGTGGCCGGCTCCGCTGCTGTTGGGGCCTCAGCCCTGATACAGGGGAAAGCCAACTACGGTGCCTTGAGTGCACAGGTAGATAGGGACCTACGCTCCTTGGAAGAGCTAGTCTCACACCTTGAGACTTCCCTAGACTCTCTGGCCGAAGTGGTTCTCCAGAACCGCCGAGGCTTGGACCTACTGTTCCTCAAACAGGGAGGCTTATGCATGGCGTTGGGAGAAACCTGCTGTTTCTACGCCAATCGGTCTGGAGTTATTCGGGAGTCCTTGCAAGCCTTTAGGCAGCGGTTAGATGAGAGGGACCGCGCACGGGCAACGGGGTCTTTTTGGTATCAGACCCTATATAATTGGTCCCCCTGGCTAACCACCCTACTCTCCGGAGTGGTGGGCCCTCTGGCCCTTCTCCTCCTTGGGTTACTCGTGGCCCCTTGTCTCATAAAATGCATCACCCGCTACGTCCAGAAACAAGTGCAAGCACTCCAGTTGTTTGTCCTGCGTCAATCCTATGCTCCTCTGGACTCTGATGAGTCCCCCGTCTGACTCTTTTCGTCCGTGAAAAGGGGGGAGTGAAGTGGACTGAGTTGTCACAAAAAAAAAAAAAAAA